GGGAGGGGTATCCATGTCACAGAATTCGCTGTTAAACAAGTTATCGGCGTTCCTGACAGGTGCGAAGATCTCCCTCTCCACTCAAACTCTCAAGCTTGCAAAGCGCTGTCTGATTTCAAGGCTTTGATCGGTTTACAAGAATCTGAAGATGTGCAAACCAGCTATATGCTAAAGATATTGAAGGATGACATTGAGCATGAGTCCAGATTGTTTGATGACGACTTGTCTATCAGATTTTTCTTCATATTTGCTTGCAACAAGTTGTTGTTCCCTACTTCAGAGAACAAAATTAGAGCCAAGGATGTTTATTTGACTAGGGATTTGTCTCGGTTACCACGTATGAAATGGTGCAAGGCCGTTGTCGATGAACTACATGATTCTGCACGCACTTGGCGTCTTGAAAGAATACACAAATCGTCTCCATCTATGAATGGATGCGCAATTTTTCTGATTGTCAGTATTCCATTCTAGTATACATATCCCTCCATTCATTAGTAGCGCTAATTATTTCCTTTCTACTGTAAACTCATTCCCATATGTTTCTAATAATTTCTTTGGAGCAGATAATATATTTGGATAGCCTTGCTGCAAGTATCAGATTGAACACACTAATACTCCTCGTGCGAAGTACTTTCATCAAGATTTGATAAAAAAGTTAATTGCTGCTGACAAGACTAGGGATGACCAAGGCAAGGTCACATTTGGCAAGCTACCGGTGAGGTTAACTAATTATTCTTCTGCATTGGTAATTACATTTTACTATGTCACTGATCATGTGTACTGTCACTTTCGTGTTTTCATTTGCTCTTTGAAGCTAAGGAACATCAATAATACTTGCTATTATACATCTCAGCAAACTAGTCCAGATATCCCAGCAAACGTACGACCTATGTCTGCTATACAGTTACCTAGCATAAAATTAGAACTGGGTGGTTTGGTAGAGAAAATTGTTACTGGCACAAGGAGGGCGCAGGCAATGCATGCTTTGGTCTCGTTTGATTCCAAATCAAAAAAGGCAACATCTTACATACAGATGGGGGAACAGATGCTGCAAGATGCACACCATCAAGTCATTTGCATGGTTAAGAAAAATTTTGAAGACGAGGTGCACTGCAAGAACACTGAAGATTTGTGTGCTCAACCAACTGATTTGTCAGCAGGTGATCAGATGACCACCGCCCATTGCACTTTCATTGAATTACTACTTTATATATTTTGAACTTACTAATACTTTGTGCATGAATATGCAGACCACGGGGATGTCATCCACAATGGAGATAATACACTACCAGTACACACCTCTGAAACAAGGGAGAATCCAGCTGCTTTTGGTAATGCGAATACAAAATTGTTGCTTGTCATTTCCAGAATTTTTTGTTGCTTTTAATTTAATACATCTTGTGTATCCTTTACAGACCCACAGAATGTAGCTGACAAAACACTTCCCAGCATGGAGGCAGCAGCATCATTGCTTACGGATGGAGGTGACAATGTAGATTCTGAGAAAGGGATGCAACATGGAGGGTCGCCTACTTGTTCCCAAGTTATATTCTTTTTCATCCACACACTGTGTTCATTACTTCATTATATATGTATATATAATTCTAAAATCTATCCCATTATGTTAAAACATTTACAACCACAAACATGACTTTTTTGCATACGTAGGCCCGTACGCAACTGGCGTATGATCATGTTGTACCTCCTATGGAAGATCTCTCATACACAGGTCTGCACCCCATCAGTATGCCTTTTCTCAATCACTTCATTCAATACCTGGTATCTTATTGGTTCATATTATTCGCAGGCCCATGTGCCGCACCTGACGCATCCACTGCACACCTGAATTCTGAAATTGACTTCATTGATGCATCTATAACACGTACTGACCTCCCACAAGATGCAATTGCTGACAGCGTTGCACCTAAAGGAGCCACTATTTCAGATAACGTTGATCAAGTACCATCTGAGTTACCAGAACAGGGAGATGTCATGGTCACTGAAGTGCAGCCAGTATGTATCCAGCTTCTATATTTCACTCTTACACCATCCACTTTTTCAAATTTGTGTTGCTACTTACTGAACATATTACCCTGTAATGGACGCAGGTTCAACTGATGGACACAAATGAACCTATATATCCAAGGCCACAACGGCTTACCAAACGCCCAGCCATATATGTTTCACCTTTTAAAGGTGACCCACGAAGAGTACAAGTAACGTTGTCAAAAGCACAAGCTGTGCGGAAGAAGTTTCGACCAGGCCTCAAGAATTTAAGGTAATGCTTAGGTTACATGCTCTCAACTTTACTATTATTCAAGCACACACTAATCATCGATTCCATAACATTTTAATGATGCTTTCATCGTCACCGGGTCACGTCAATTCACGGGAACAGAAATGCTAGATTTGTTCCACCACGGAGAAATGCTTTCAGCCAAATTCATGTCATACTTTGTTCAGTGCCCGAGCCATGATGAATCCATTCAAATGACTGATGGTGCTGGGTACAGGGTCTTCCTATCTCAACAGCTTGGGGTGAGACCACACACCAATACACCTTCATTACTACACAAATTGGCCAATAATATTTACACACTAAAAAGCTTTCATATGTCCATTCAGGAATATGTCAATATAGAGGACAATGACGAGTACTCTCAGTGGGAGTCACATCATGCCCTCACTGTCTTAGAGCGTGACATTAAGGATGTTGACCCAACCAAAGTGAAGCTAGTAAGTTCTCATCACCACTTTATCAGGTGCAAACTATCCTTTCTAACGTCTTTTTTATATGTCAGTTCTTATTGCCGATACTCGAGAATGATCACTTCAGTGTATACTGCATCAACTTTATCCATGATCGAATAGATATACTCGATTCTAGTCCACAAGACCACCGACATTACCATGACACTCTGGGTGACCGAATTATTCCAAGGCTCAATCTTCGGTTCCAAATGGCCACAGACTATAATATAAAGCAGTTCACACGATTCAAGCGTCCTATCCTTAAAGTTCCAACCCAGTTGCATGACAACGACAGTGGATTCTTTGCCATCAAATTTATGGAGTTATGGAATGGTGAATCTTTCCATACTCCAATTCTCAGCGTAAGTCTTGCTGTTTTGACCCCATTTCTGAATGTTCAATTATTAAGTTCGCCAAATCTAACTTCCTTTCACTATCAATATAGGAAAATTTATCTATGTACAAGTCGCAGCTGCTCTTCTATGGCATTTACCACCCAATCAATGAGATTATAAAGCTTCCTGCTGGGCTAGAAGCAAACCGGCCTCGCTTGTGATCAATCGTTATGGTTGCCTAGTAGTGACAAAATAAATACGGACACAATGTCCTCCTTGCTGTAATTTTTATTATCATGGATACAATTTTCTTTCTTCAAAACATCATCGTATCAATATAAGTTATCATGGGTTCATAATTTTTTTTACCATTGTCCAAATTATCTTATACAATCTTGGGTTCTCGTAATTTTCCCTTCTATTAGTCTGTATATATCAAACTTTCATTTATCTTTGTTAACTTATGTAAGTATGGTCAACCAAAATTATGAATGATGCCTCGCTATTCTAGTAAATCATTATATAATATATAATGATTTACTAGAATATCTTAATTATATCGTAACTACATCTATACTATAGTAATTTACTCTTCTAGGGATAATTGAATTCTCGTAAGTTTTCCTTCTAGTATGTCTTCCACTAATCTTAGTTGACCCATGGTAACTATGTATGGCCTTCCTACTCTGTTTGCTTACCAAATTTTTTGACATATCGTAATGCCTACTTACTACGATAGTAAATAAATCATTATATAACTTACGCATTCTTCATTGACTTTTGGTTACTTTTTTATTTGACAAGGACTTTCGGTAACTTTGTACCCTTACCCAAAATTATGAACACTGCCTTCGCATTCTAGCAAGTCCCACCGTTAACAACAGTCATTGGGCCCACCTGCCATCCATGGCCCATGTGTCATTTGGGATGACCTTTATTTTCTCTCTTTTTTTCTGGCACTCACGCACGGTCTTATCTCTCAGGCACAGCCATTTTTTCCCCCGCACGGCACTCATCTTCCTCCACACGCGCCGCTGCACACTCACCGCTTCGCTCCCGCTCTCCGTGGCCCTGCCACATCCCTACAGGAAGGGACGACAGCAGCTCAATCATGGGTTGCCCAGCCTAAAATGGCCGGAGGGGACGAGCCCGGGCGCGGCATGCAGCGAGAGGAAGACGAGTGAGCCGAAGATGGAAGGGAACTCTGTTGAAAAGGGATGGATCGATTTCTTCATTTCCAAGGACGGATTTGACCTACATTTACGGAGAATATGCTCGTCTACAAGCACTCTATTTTTCAAGTCCCAGATCCAAACACCTCAAAAACTAGGTTCGTCAAAACCTATCCCCTGTCATCTAACAAACCAAACAAATGCTTATTTTTGACTTATGGTCACCGTGTATGGTTCAACCAAATTTGAGTAAATCGTTATATCTGTTACGCAAATCTAGTATGAAAGCAGCTGTCTATTGTAACCTACGTCTCTACTATACTGGTTTTGCGCTTATAGCCATTATTGAATTTTTCTTCTAGTAAGCCATATATTCCAGTAACCAATGCTGGGTTATGGTAGAAGTACATCAGACCTCACTAGATAATTGCAACCACGAGTCCAGAGTATCATTAATGTTACCACTACTTGTCTGGTGTTATCTCAAGCTGAAGTTGTCCTCACTATTATTCTTCCCATTTCATCCATCCCCCTCATGCAACATCATCAAACTCCTCCTCTAGTTGCCTTTTTGTGGGTGGTCTCCCCTCTTCTTCCCCATCTTGTCACGCAAACTCCCACTGGAACCACTTTTCTTCCATTCATTGTCTGGGTTTAATTCACAACTTGTACTATAATGACCTTTCAATCCACAATGGCCACAATTCCGTACCCCCGTTGCTTTCTTGTTAGAAGTCTCAACTCAGACTATCTGTTTCCCTTTGCACTTCCTCCCCTTTGTACTAGCACCCTTCAGCGCACATTCCGAAATTAGCGTGTCTTTTCCAATTGCAGGAGAATGAGGATCCTCTTCCGTATCATTTGCCACTACTTCATCGACCGTAGGAACTTCAGGTCCTCTTATTCCATCTGACACATTTTCTTCGTTTCTAAGATTCCCCATCTGCGATGGTCCAGTACCTACCGCAACTGATTCACCCCACTCAGCCAATGCTTGCAGATCCTTGCTTCCTCTCTCAACCCCAATACTTGTTTTGCGGAGCGCCCTTACGGCCATCATTGCTAAATCTACCAACTTTCTTGTTGCGTACCTCTCGTCTTCACAATCTGTTCCCATATTAGCTATGTCATGCCTGTCCCAAGTTACCATCATCCTCGCATCTTTGGTGTATCTCTTCATTATGTATTTCGAAGGTATATTTTCAATTTGCTGGTAGGTGAAAGCTTTAATAAGATGGGCGCAGAACAAGCCTGAAAGAATCAAACATGCACTAATCATTAACACCTTTACTTAGATAATATAATCATGAGAAATGAAAGACGTGACCTTTTCCCAAACTCACTCACCTGTATGCTCCCATGTCTTGCACTCGCATGTGTATCTACCTTCTTCCACATTAGCCTCCACTTTGAAAGAATGTTGAAACCATGAATATTTCCATGACTGATTTGTGTGTCACTAGGAAACTATCAGCCTTGTCTGCATCTGGGTCAATACGGAATGCAGTACTGTATATATAAGTATCTCTATACTTTTTGTAGACAGCCCGTGTGTACACCCTGCTCAAATGGATTTCGAAGTGTTGCAACGTCAATCGAAAGTTATCAGCCTGTTTCAAACACAATCACCTAAAAAATTTAGCTAACACAAGCAGCAGATAAACCTTTCTAGTAATTGCAAACCATTTGTACACAACACATTTTGCAACTAATTAATTATGTTATACCAAAAACTTACGATATTACCTGTGACCAATGGGTTTCTCCTGCCGCCGTGTGATTTGTGTGTTGAATGAACTCAAGCATCTTGCGGGCAAATTTGCTCATGCATGTCATGTGGCCTGTGAAATGCCTGCTCTTGAGCATCCTATTCACGCTTTCACTCCTTTGTGTAGACGTCATCCTTCCACAATACAAGGGTTTGAAGTAAGTTGCAACCCACAACTTCCTACTATCCCAAAGACCCTTGATAGTTTCATCTTCCCATATGCCATACTCATCTACCAGCTCATTCCATGCTGCCTCAAACTCGATATGCATAAGTGGGTGATTGATTACTGTTAGCAACTTTATCTTCAGACCCTCATTCAACTTATACAATTTCTTAAGCTCATTTCGATACTTCTTCAGCATGTGCCAACGGCACAACCTATGTTGTGTTTTTTTAAACACCCTTTTGACTGCGGCAGCCATCGCACTATCCTGGTCTGTACCAGAAACAAGAAAAGTAATAACGTTACCAAACATTAACCTACATGTATTTCAGCAACAATACATTTAATTGCAAGGGTCATCTTCTCACCTGTAAGTATACATCTATGATCTCGACTCCCTAACATGCAGTCTTGGAATGCTTGAAACAACCACTCAAATGTATCAGCTTGCTCATCCTGCAAAAGTGCTTGCCCAAACATGACATTTTGTTGTTGATGCATGGTTCGAACCGACAAACATAGCTACTGGCATGTTATACATATTAGTTTTGTATGTGGTGTCGAATGTAACGACATCTCCAAAATCTCTATATTCTGCTCGTTGGCTTGCATGACTCCAGGACACATTCTTGACAATGTTCTCACTGTCCACCTGCAAATCATAGTAGAAATATTCATTATGGGCCTTCATCTCCTTGAAGAACTCGAGCAACTTGGGAATATCATTTTCTCTCTCTGCCTTGGTCACTGCAGCTTTCCTGAAATTGTAACATCACGCAACTCCCATTACTGATTTGACAATTAATATCATTTGGTTATACATTACTGTATACATTACCTGTTTTTCAGGTCTCTCTCAGTGAATGTGAAGTTTTGGCGACCGCTATATATGTCTGACAGCACATTTACTGTTGCGTTCAGGGGAACATCACACCTATGCATCTGATCAACAATCCCCATGATTGTTGGGTCCTGGTTTTTGTGTGACTTCATATATTGTGTTAAGCTCGGCGAATGGATGCAATGGGTGAGTGTGTTCCAACCGTATCCTCTCAAAAAACCAATATCCCTTCTTCTGGTTCCATTTAGCCTTCACAAATGCCTTGCATTCACACCTCATTGACATTTTCTCTCGAACTCTCTCCTCACCAGGCTTATAATAATCCCAATGCCCTTGTTTATTGCAACTCATCTCCAAAACCGTCTTCCTAGTCTTGGTTATGCGCACGTCGAATCCTGCCTTACTCGCATAGAACTTGTAAAACTCCTCTGCTTCATCTCTGCTCTCAAAACGCAGCTCTTCATTGGGCACAATTTCTTCTATCAACAAGGGACCCTGATTCACATTGAACAACAAGTTACAAGTTAAACCATAGAGGCCAGTATTTTGAATAACGCTAATACAAGTTAACTCACATGCATGTACGTTTTCTGCTGATCAGGCGTCACCATCGTCGTTGGAGAGACAGTCCGTAGCAGAGTCACTTCAGCAAGGCTCGCAGGATTTGCTACCGGCACCGACGCCGGCGCTACAGGCTGAACTGGAGTCAGCACAGACGACGTCGATGCCTCTCCGGCCACAGAGGACGACGGAGTGGGTGATCCATGGGTCGGCGGCATTATGAGACTCGTGGAACCTAAATCGTCAGCACTGAAAACAGAATGATGGACTAGTCACGCCCCGTCCAATTACAGCAGCATTTAGACACGCGAGAAGTTAGCACCAATAATATTGCACAAAGAGAATAAATGCCGGAGTGGCCACTGCACTAGTGCCTTTTGCGTAAATGACGTATTTGTGAACTGCAGGCGCTAACTGCGCGAGATCTACAGTATTTTTTTGTTACTGGTTACTAGATTTTTTTTATACTTAGTATAGATTTTTGTTATTGGTTACTAGAATTTTTTTATACTTAGTATGGACTGCACCCTTTCTCGTATACAATATTAGAGTTACCACACATCTCGTATATACTCCGTACATAGCTTGCATGTGTATCGCCTGCACCCTTTCTCGTATACAATATTACGAGTTACCACACATGTCGTATATACTCGCTTGCACCCTTTCTCGTACACAATAGTACGAGTTAGGTCCCGTTTAGATGCGAAATTTTTAGCTTTTGGTTACTGTAGCACTTTCGTTTGTATTTGGCAAAAATTGTCCAATTATAGACTATTTAGACTTAAAAGATTCGTCTCGCCAATTACGGGCAAACTGTGCAATTAGTTATTCTTTTTACCTACATTTAATGCTCTATGCATGTGCCGCAAGATTTGATGTGACGGGAAATCTTGAAAATTTTTGAATTTTGGGTGGAATCTAAACAGTGCCTTGACAAAGCCTTCCAGTAGCGCTGATTTGGGATCATCATTTATTCACGTCTTTGCCGCATTGATGCTGTCGGCTCATGTTCTATCGGCTGGCTCGAATTCTAATGTTACTACCTTTTAGTCGGCTCGCTCGGCAATTACTTAGCCTGTTCGGGAGGCCGTATCGTATCGTGAATTATTTACTGCTGGCTGATTTGGTGTGAGAGAAAAGTACTGTTCCTGGCTAGAAATTTACGATCGTTTACGAGCAAGCGAACAGGCTGACTGGCTTCCGAAGCCATGGCACCTGGGCTGGTCGGGATGGTCACCAGGGTGGTGCGGCCAGGCACCCGGACACAGAATAACAAACTCTATAGGTGGCTACATAATACCTCTGAACAAACACCAACAAGTAGATGGCCAGTTGTAATGTCCGATGCTAGTATGAGCTAAAGGATAAGGTTCGAACCTTGAGTGCCTCAGTTTTTTCTTTTAATTAACTAGGTACTGTGTCCGTACGTTGGTACGGTATAACTAACAATTTATGCTAAAAACACACGGATCGCACGATAAGACAACAATACTGTTAAATTAAATACCAATATTAAAGTGACATTTAATTAAAAAGCAAAGTTTATAAATTTAACACAGTCACGGAGTGCGCGGCATCGTAGGGTCACAAACTCTAAAGCTTCCAGAGATTAGGTCGAATCCAACCTAGAGCCTCGGAACCTTACATCTTTTCCTGGACGGGCTTCACTTCGGATGCGCCGGTAGCAATATCAACGATCTCCAGTCGATGGACCAAGTCGTATGGATCCCCATACAATGACTCAGACATGTAGATTTTGTTCTCCTTATACTTGGATACACTTGTTCCACTGAAGCTTTCATTGAAATGTTTAGACACAAACAGTGTCTGATCACCGATATCCCTCACCCTGAATCACTCCGGCGTACGGTCGTGGAGGTTGCACTTGTAGATCGCGCTGCTGTAGGTGAAGCTCTGTGTCTCGTGGAACGTGCTCACCATGGCACCCACAATGTGCAGCTCACCGTTTGATTCTAGGTAGCTGCGGTGGCAGAGCCCCACACGTGGCGACAGCGATGGCAGCAGCGTCGCGGTTGGAGTAGCGCCGGTGGTGTTGCTGCTGCAGATGGAGATTTCTCCAGTGCAGTCGATCGCCAAGGACTTGTCTTGGCAGTGGACGATGGACCCCACGAAGAACTCCAGTTTGGTGTCGAGCAGCGTCCATGCGCTGTCGACTCCAACCCGGCAGAACGCAACCTCCGTGGAGCACCAAGCATGCCCATGGCCACGCGCTCGCGGCCGGTGGCGTCAGGCGGCGCCGAGAGCACGATCTCACGGAAGAACACGTCCCTCATGTCTTCTAGCTTGATGGCTCTGCCTGCGGCATCCGTGTCCCCGTAGCCGTTGGTGGGATGGAGGACCCACCGGCCGTGGACCCTAGACACGCGTTTCGATGAGGATGCCGCCGCGACGTGTTCGCCTGCTGGCGGGAGCTCAACGCGGGGGGCACGGGCACCGGCGAATGAATTCAGCAGTGTCACGGATGCCGCATCGTCCATGAGCGCTAGCCACCCACACGAGGAGCCGCACACCACCTTGCCGCGCACGTCGGGTAGCGTTTTGGACAAGACCTTCTTCTCTGGGACGCAGTAGAAGTCGACGCGGTCGTGGCCTGACACGAGACGCTACCCGATGGACTCGAGGAGATCCTCTGGCAGGCCGGATCTCCAGTTAGGGAGAGGTAGGACCTTCTCTTGGGATTGGGAGGCTGAGCCATGGAAGACAGATAACATCAACTATGGTTCACGTAAGAAATAGCAAGCGAGGGCGATGGAACACGTGAGCGTGAAACCAAATGAAAGGAGAAAAAAGTTGTCCCTTTTGCAAATGCAAAGAGAGTAAGTAATTAAATGTAGGCAGATTTGACAAGGTTCTCAGAAATGCAAAGATGTTCCTTTTGTATTAATTCTCTTTTCTTTTGCTCGTTGCTATATATGCTGGTGCATGCAAACATGCAATGTGTATATGGATAGCACAATAATTTTCTACTTTCTATTTTGCCGTGATTCTTCTATCACGTGACAGGCAATATTCAAGAAGAATGGCACGATCAATCAGTAATTAAGATGTCGTGGGATCGCAGGCGTGGGCTGACGAACGAACCAAAACAAATATTACGCCAAAAAAATATCCACATTTTGCTCTTTTTAGTTGTAGGAGATTTTCTGGAATTTTTCCTTGGTTTGGAGTGGGTGGGCCACGTCCACGTGACCGGGCGGGCGCGTGAGATTGTGAGAACAGTTTCCAATCGAAATCGGCGGCAGGGTAGGGTGATGTGGCGCGGCCGGGCCCGGCTATCAGCGAGAGAGAAAATATGAGAGGGCGTTGCGGGGTTTCAAACTCACGGCGCGGCGCGGCTAGCGAAAACACGGACGCGTGCGGTGCTGGTTGGTTGGTGGGGCATAGTAGGCGCGCACCACACGGGCACTGTGGGGTCCGTTTGTCAGGAGGTTGGGGTCGTATGGGCCAAAAAGGAGCAGGCCATCCGTCCGTTTGCACAAGCGTTTCTGCTCTCTTTTTTAATATATTAGCAAACGTGCCCGTGCGTTGTAACGGAATCCAATACGCAGTGAGTTGTAGCACGGGTCATAAGTTCAAGTCAAAAATTAAACTAATTAGTTGTAAAAAAATTCTTAAGAAGTCAAAGATTAAAATGACTGTGATCTCTTATTTATTGCTTGTTTTTACTCTTATTATATTTATTAGGACACAAAAAAAACCAGGTGGAGAAAACAATAAAAACAAAATCAAGAAAGTCGAGCTAGTGTAAAAATATTCACGAGAAAATAATCTAAGTAAACTCGAAGCCAATTATGTAGAAAACAGTCATGACAAAAATTAGAATGTACTCTAGAAAAGAAAAACATTAGAACATATTCGAAGCCAAGCGAAAAGCGTCCAAATGAATGTAAAGCAACACATACTCGGAGCAAGTAAAATGGGACAAACCGGAAAAAATGAAAAAAAATCAGAAAAAAACGAAACAAACAAATTCTACCCTTCCTTCCTCTTTATTAGATTTCTATTCTTATATTTTGTATTTGAATTAAGATTCCTATTCCGGTTACTCGGAGTTGGAGAGATCTAGTTGGATTAAGATTTTTAGTTGTCCATATTATTATATTTTTCCTATTTGGATTAAGATTCCTATTCGTCCGAAATCGGATTGATCTAATTGGATTAGGATTTCTAGTTATATAAAGAGAAGGCTATAGGCGGTTTTCCACATTCACAAAGTTAGTTAAGGGATAGCCGGATAAAAAAAATAGGTGAAAAAATATTTTGTCTCTTTAATATTAGGTATAGATATAAATTTAGCACGGTGCACCGCAGTCTGCCCAAGTCGTGTACGTATTCACATACTCCAGCAAAAGAAGGAAGCAAGTTGGTGATTGGTTCCTGTTATTTTCGTACTAATAGTTGGTGATTGGTGTTCACATACTTCCTGTTATTACGAGCACATGTTTGACTAAGCCACAAATAATTTAATAACGGCGCAATTAAGCCACAAATAATTTAATAACGCCGATAGAACTCCAAACTCCAAATCACGGCGCGTGCATGGCTCGAAAAGGAAACGGTTCCGTGCTCTTCATCCGTATGTCTTACGGAAAAATAATTATTCGTATGTTTTCTCGGTTCTTGTGCTTTATATCGTCCGTATTTTTTTCGATTACTCTTTTTTATCACGTGTGGTCTTTATTTATTCCATTTTTTATCAATCCGAGTCCCGTTCCTCAATGTAGCTTGCATGCCTCCGGTGTTTGCGTGGTCTTTTGCCGCGTGTTTTTCCAATTAGAGTTTGGCTGCGCGCTTTTGTGTCTTTTCTTCGAAATCTTGACGTTTATATAAATGAGCAGCGTATGGGCATCTTTACTAGTATGCCTAATTTTGAAAAGTATATATAATTTATATAGACATCAATTGAATTTGAACAGGTTCCAAATTTAATGGGGCCACACCAAAAATCTGAAAAGACACCAAATCACAAATGCGTTTATTACTATATGAGGTGCCAAATTAATTTAAGAAAAATATTTTTAAGGGGAAAATGATAGGTCTATATGTATAAGAAGTTATAATAGCTTTAGTTTAGATTTGGACGTAAGCCTAAATCCAAACATCGCTCGATTATTTTATTAGAAAGAATCGATCACATATGAGTAATTTTAATACCAAAACATTATCAAATAAAAATTGGTTTTATGACGAAGTG